GGGCAGTCAGGGGACAAGAAGCAGGGGGGTTGGAGGTTCTGAGGGGGAAGTCAGGGGGCGGGAAGTAGGAAGGAGTGGATGGGGGCGGGACTAGGGCAGGGTGGGACTAGGGCGGGGCTCTCTGGCTGCACACCTAATGAAATGGGCTGCGCATGCCTATGCCAACAGATTACATCCTCTCTGCTGGGGTTTTCCCTGAAACCTTTTCTTCCTCCCGCCTCTCCCTCCCGCCAGATCCCCAGCTGGAGTAAATCAGCAAAGCTCTCCTGACTTCAGTGGAGCTGTACTGCCTTACATCAGCTGGGAGACCGGCCTCCATGTTTAACTCTGGGCTGGAGGCCGAATGTGCCAGGGGGTCCCCCGAGCTCTAGCAGAGGATTACGGACCTGAACTATCTGCCTTTCTCTTCCCTCCAGATGCTGGATCACAGCCCCCCTGATCCATAACATAGTCAACCTGGGCTTCTTCAGCCTGGTGTTCCTCTTCAACACGGCCATGCTGGGAGCCATGGTGCGGGAGATCCTCAGGCAGAGGAACAGAGGCCACGAGCTTAAGCACGCCCTGGTTCTCCTGGGCCTGAGCCTCGTGCTGGGCATCCCCTGGGCCCTGGCGTTCTTCTCCTTTTCCTCGGGATCGTTCCGGCTCGTCGTCATCTACCTCTTCACCATCATCAACACTTTGCAAGGTGAGCACGCAGGGCCGGGCACGCTCTGCCCATCTCGCCCTCTCCCGGCGACGTGGGACCTGGCGTACGTGCCGTCACCCCGGGGCGAGTTTCAGGGTAAATGGCGAAGGAGTCTGGAGTCTCTCTGAGGAGCAGCTGATGAGGCTGCCACAACCCTGTGCCCTATTCCTCACCGTGGGGGAGAGGCTCCCCTCCGTACTAGAGCGTGCCTCGCTGTACCTAGCCATCTCGCCTGCGGGGCCCTGGGATTTTCTGTGCGACAGCACCCAATGGCCACACGAGGGTGCCACCAGCTAAGGCGCGAGACAGTGCTCTGCTACGTTAGTACAGTGATGGATCCGAGACACTGTTAGCTCAGTTCATCTGACGTATAATTTGTTCCTTTAAAGTGGCAGTAGTGATGGGCTGAGCTGGCAGGGTGCACCCATGCTCAGGCAGGGTGCCAGCCTCCCCCTGCCGTCAGGTGACCCATTGTCCTGCTCTCTGCATTACCCCTGCCCAGTGAGCGCTCTCCTATTTCTCCCATCTCTCGCAGGCTTCCTCATCTTCCTCTGGTACTGGACAATGGTGCTGCAGGTCAGAAAGTCGAAGTCCTACCCCTCACTGAACAACTCCGACAGCGCCAGGTTGCCGATCAGCACCAGCCGCAC